TGACAGAACAGTGTCTCCAGGTTACCATAGATCTTTTCATGTTTTCCTTCCAGTTAAGAATATGGAATTATTTACTGACTAGGCTGGAATGACACTTTTTCAGTTTACATCTATAGGCTCAAGAAATGGACAGGACATTAGAGGGCGGTGTCAGTGAGAGCTCAGTGGCAGCTGAAGAACCAGCATGCCTGCAGTGGGGCAGTGTGGATGGCTACAGACCAACCAGGTGAGAGGCTGCTGGACCACGCGCCAGCCAGAACATTCCTGCACCATAAGAAGAGTGCTTATTACCACCTCAATCCTTAAAGTTAATTTATTTTACTCTTCTGCAATCTTTGATATACCAAAGTGATATATTTTGATATTTAAAATTTAGGTCTATCACCATTTACTGAAGACCCAAGCTAAATGGCAAGAGAATTCAGGTAATAAAATTATATTCTTATTTGTTCTTATATAACCATTCAGGAATTTTCCCCTCATTTTAAGATCTTTCTTAAATTATTAAAAATCCAAAACCTAGAATATTGTGCTAAAGTTCTGCCAAAATAGAAACTGAATTTGAAGATCTTATAATAACCACTATGTAATATTAATTTTGTTGAACTACTTTAAAAAGTACCATGTGAAGAGTCAGTACTCTTAAAACAAAGTTGTCTCTTAAAAAACTTACACTTACCAGTTATAACTAATATCAGTGTCATAAAAGTTTCTGCACAGTCTGGAACTTTCATCTCATCCACATCAGTGATATCCTTATATTGGGATATCCAGGCAGCTTCTGATGAAAGCATTGAGTCCATTTTTTGAAGAGCAACTGATGTGCAAAAAAAAAAAGGATTATGTCAATTAAGTAGTTACAGTCATTCCTAATCTTTCAACTCACAATTTTTTAGGGATGACTTTTCTATAAAAAATAAATCCACTACCTCCTACTAGTTGCACTATATTTAACATGCTCTATTTTAGGGTTAAACAAAATACTTCTCCCTACCAACCCTATCCTAAAATCTTCAAAATAGTTATACTAACTAGACAAGCTACATCCAAATGATTCTTCCAAGAGCAGCAATACCATATGTAAAATCTACAAGACAGTTAACTATATACTCTACTGGCTTGAATATTACTCTCAAGAAACATGTAAAGGGCCGGCCGAGTGGCTCAGTTGGTTAAGAGCTCGCTCAAGGGTTTGAGCTCTGAGCAACAGTGGTTCGATGGCCAACCCAAGCTGAGCTGCCACTGAGCTGCCAACAGGTGGCAGAATGGCTCAGCTAAAAAACAAAAGAAACATGTAGAGTGCAATTCCAGAAATAACTAATGTTTGATAAGAAGAAAAGAAAGTAAGATGACCCCTGAAAGCAACTTAGTAAACCCTGACAAAGAAGTATTTAGATGGCTCTAACTTCTACCCAGAACTAGAGGAGAAAAACACCAAACATTAAACTACACAAAAAGATACATATCTCCCCACCGTATGGCCACATGAGCACTTACATTTTCTCTCCACAGTCAACCATCTCTGAAAGCAGGTTTCCTCTGACAAAATATGCATACAATTAGCAAAAGTGCCAGGATAGCTGTGAACACTGTGTAGCTCTCTTTCAAACAACAGCACCTCATCCACCAAATGACAGAAGAGATTGTCATCATAGAGCAGACAAGGAATATCAGCAGCTAACTTCTCCAGAACCAGCATCACAAGGCCCCGAGAAAATTCAAGCTAAAATACATAGGCATACGGTAATGTAAATGTCAAGTTATTCATTCCTGGACACAAACTCTAAAACTAGAAGGCTTAGGGTCTGTCTCTTACCCTTGCATTTACCGAAGAGCCTACTTTGTCTAATATTGGCTGAATCTTCTCATCCAGAAACTCGGTGTGGTTCCCAATCCACATAAGCACCTGAGCCAAGTACCATTCAGGCTAAGGAAGGAGGTCAAAAGTTTAAATTCTTTAGTCATTCCAACTAGAAAGTTACAATTAAATGGCTTTATTTCATTATATACACACAGCACTTACAAAAATTAGTTGAAAATTCCTATATGTAAGAGCACAATTTCTACTCTGAACTTTAAACTTAGGCAAAGCTTAATAATCAAATGTTTCCTAATGTGCTTCCAATAAATTCCAATAATGCGACTTAAATCAACAAACTCATAAATTTACAATGCCCTGTATATTTAAAACCTAGCATTTTTGAAATGTGTAAAATGGTGAGTGTTACAAAGAACTGATGGCCTTTAAATTATTTTTTTGAAGTAACATTCCAGTATAATTTTTAAACATTATTTTCTGCTTTTTCTTTTCAAAAGGTAAATTAAGAAAAAAATTTGGCTGGTCTACATTACAAAAAGTACACATGCCTTAAAACAGCTATAAGTATAGAAAAGATCATATAAGTATGCAGCTTTTTAAATTGTCCCTAGAGATGATTCTACAAAACTTTCAAGTTTTGTTGACAGGGATTCAAAAACATTTACTGAATGGTAAGTCCCTGTTGTGTGCTAATTGCCAGGAATACAAAAATAAGGAAGGGGCACCCTCTAATCTCAGGAGCTGCATAGTTTAGGCTTGATGTCAAAGTACCAGGCCCATTGGAACCACACGTTAAAAAGCAGCCAATATAACTCACAATAATCTTACCATAAATTATTACTGTTTCTGTACAGCTTTAGGTTTATTGCTTTGTCTCACTTACTACTTACTAATTGGTTCTACTCTTTCTACCCAATAGCCCATCCAAACAAGGACACCCATAAAGTACAAAAGAACATGCTGAACTTAAAAACCAGAAATCCACTGCCACTCTACTCCTTCCTATGCAAACATAACTGCCTTTCCCTTGATTCCTTAAAAATTCTAGACAGCCTATAAAATCAATGCGTGGTATAATCTGGCATTTAATGACATTTAACTCAAAGCACTCACTGAACCCCTCTGCTACTTGCCCTGCATTAGATGTAGTGAAACTCAGGGATAAACAAGGTAGTACCCACCCCTTAGCTACAAACTAGGTTATAATTCTCAACAAATTCAATCAGATTTCATTGAAAACAAATGCCTATGATTTTTTTCAGATCAAATTTAAAAATCTCATCAATATGCCCAATATACATGGGTGTAGTCCCTCAACTAAAATGTTGGTGCTAACTTCCTCGAGCCATTTTCCCATCATTTATTCCAATATATTCTTGCACAGCCACAAATCATTTTAACATCAGCATCTCTTTTCAAAAGCTAATGCTCTCCCATCTTTTGACTTGCACTTCTCTTTCTAATGTATTTATAAACCTGAAGGAGCAATTTGCATGGTAAAACACTTGTGGAATCAGTTGTAAAAAATGCCACAGCAAATGCTACAGCAAACACAGGGGGACACTTGAGAAACTGATCAGATGATATAATGAATGAGCTGATTCCTATAACATAAGTCCCAAAATATATCTATAAAGGGCAGTGACAAAACAGGAATTTACCTCTTTAGAGAAAAAACAGAAATGCAAGTAGAATCCGATTTTAACTTAAACCAGGAAAAGTATAGAAACCCTTAACATTTGCTGTTAATAAAAACCAAGGACAAGAGTTGGTAAAGCACACCTTGCTTATAACATTAGTCTGTCGGTTCCCTCTGAAGTGATACCTGAACCTCTTCTGAAGGGGAGTCAGCATAATCTGGATGGGCAGGATGACAGAGGAGGATGCCGGAAGAGAGTATTTTTCTGGAAGTTGTTTTGGCTCAGTAATTAATTCATCTCTGACAGAGTCAAGTCAAGGAAAAAGAATCAAAAGCATACACACACGCGCACACACACACACACGTGCGTATGTGTATATATACACACAATGCATTTTCCAACAAATATATAAGACACTCAGTAAAATTATAATACAGATAATATGTAATCTACCTTTACATTACATGATTTCAGTAAAAAGTGCAGGAAAAATGTTATTAGAATTAATCTGTAAGTCTTTCCTAAAATAAAGAATAGCAGTAAGGAAACACATTCCAGTAATCATTTTATTAAGTTAACACTAAGTTACTAAGGTTTCCTCTCAATTGCCCATTTTTTTCTATTGTCCCAAGAGACTACATGTGAGTCATACTTGGGTCAGGGTCAGTCACATATTTCAGACTGACCCACGCCCTCCCACGCACATGCAATTCACTTGGAGAGAGAGCAATCCCATTCCATGGGCACACACAGATCAAGTCCAAACCCAGCATTCCCATTGGCTTCTTGGCCACTGTCAGACAGTTATACTCCCTAGCAACAAATCTACTGTAGACAATTTTAGTAAGTCTTAACTCCAACAAAGATACGAGGTTTGAAGTTTCAGAAGTTGACAGAACAGTGTCTCCAGGTTACCATAGATCTCAGGGGCATTGGCTGGTCGACTTAAGCCAACAGTTTGAGCCTGAGTGGGTGTGATGAATGGCCAATGAAGCTGTGTTAAAATTTCCTCAAAATCACTGTAACAGAAGAGTAGCACACATATTTCAGTCAAGTACAATGATCACCAAATATCCACTTGAAAGCAATTACATGAAATACGAGCAAATGCCTTACCTTGTAAGCTTGTCCTTGAGAATTTTATGCCAGAATTTAACAGTGGCTCTCATGAAACCAAGAAGATGAGTACAAGATGATTCCTGAAGCCTGATGTCAAGTTCTGCCATGGACACCAGAGTAGAGGCTGCCTCCGGGACATTATTGGTCATCAGATATTGCTGAATGTTATCACTGCAAAATAAGGCAAAGCAAACTTTAAAAGACAGTTCAAATACAGAAAAAGTGCTTCTCCCTCCTGTTTTATGTAAAGTGACATCCAGGGAAGAAGGAAGCACCATGCTGAAGTGGCTTTTTTACCTCAGACCCGCGTCTCTGAGAGCCTGAGTCCACATCCTCCTGAGAACAGCGGTCCATGTTCAGGACTCCCTCCCCGGAACCCTTCCTCCTCACTCCTCCCAACAGACCAGACTTGTCCTGCATCACATTCCCTCAAGCACTGTTCATTCCTGGTAAGTCTGCCTTTTAAAGAAGTCTTTGGTATCCTAATCCAAGGGAATAATGTAGGTAAAATCTGGTAAGGTCAAATATGGTAGTCGTCAATTTTTACCTACTTGGCCCAGCTGAACTTGATTATAGGAAACTTCAGGAGGTGGCATGTCAGCGCCCAGTCCTTTCAAGTTACTGTTAGCAAAGTTCCAGATAAAATTTAAGGTAAGCTCCACAGCAAGGCAGCAAGCTAAAATGCCCACAACGGCCTGATAGGTAAAGTAAATAAAAACAGCGAAGTGCGGGGGGGAACTAATGCATCCTAAGGCTCCAGCCAACTGTTGCCACACTGGAGTGCAGGTCCAAGGTAGCCAAATCTTAAAATTTTTCTAGAAAAGCCAGAAATCAAGATTTTTCTGTAAAATCAAACCAATTCTGCAAATTCTTTAAAACAAGCCAAATACAACATGTCTTCAAGACAAATTCAGCCCATGAGCTACCATTTTGGCTCTATAAACCATATGATTGGAAAATGAAATGTTTCGTTTGATAAAAATAACATATTCCATGTCTTAAGCCACCTAAGAATAAGGAACAAAATGTAACTTTTCAATAACGAGTCTACGTTCAGGGGTCACTTCCCACAGGAACTCTGAAATAAGTGCCATGTTCCAGGCAGCCTGTGCATCTCCTGCCCGGGCACTCACTCAGCCACTGCGCTGGAAGATGGCTATGTGAGTACGTGCTAGGACCCCGTCCCGGTTTGCTGTGCTGCGGCTTCAGCTCTGTCCACGGGGCGGGCACAGCACCCTCCTTTGGACAGGAATGCGCAGCCCACCCTGCCAGGCCCCACCACACACTAGTGTGTTTTCCTTTCCTTTCTCCGGGAGCCGCTTGCATTTTCCAGTGTCACTGCCTCAGGCCCAAACAAGAATACGAAGCTCCTGTTTGTATTATTCTGTCGGCCCTTTGGACCATCCCTTATGCTTATTCTCTCCTTTTCCTTCCTTCTCCTTTTTTAGTAACTCTTATTAAGATTTCCAGCAGATTTTCTTTTACAGCTATTATCAACATTGAAAACACTCTTTTTCTGGGC